TTTTTAAATGAAGAGATGGGGGAAAGCTGATTGCTGCAGAGGCGCACATGGATTGGACAGAGACTTCTCTTACAGGAGAGTCTATTGATAGAGATTCACTAGGTTTAAGTCAGGAGGAGAGGATGGAAGAGGGTAAAGTACGGGCCAGATCAGATGAGAAACATTCACATAAAGAATCTGACATATCAGAAAAGGGCAGACAAATAAACAGTGACAAGTTTTTAAAGTGTGTGTACACAAATGCTAGAAGTCTAAATAATAAGATGGGTGAACTAGAGTGCCTCATGTTAAAGGAGGATATTGATATAAGAGACATCACAGAAACCTGGCGGAGCGAGGACAATCAATGGGAGACTACCATTCCGGGGTACAAAATATATCGGAAGGACAGAACAGGTCATGCGGGAGTGGGGAGGGGCACTATATGTGAAAGAAAATGTAGAATCAAATGAAATAAAAATCTTAAATGAATCCACATGTTCCATAGAATCTCTATGGATAGTAATTCCATGCTCTAATAAGAACATAACAGTAGGGATCTATTATCGACCACCTGACCAGGACAGTGATGGGTGGGGCTAGAAGCCTGAGAGGCATGGGGACGATATGCAGCCCAAGGGTCCCACTGGAGCGGTGGTGCCATAGAGCCCAGTGGTGGTGCCCATGATTGACCGTACCAAGTTGTTGTTGGTGGGCCCACCTGAGGGTATGCTCAGGAGCCCTGTTGGTACTGGACACCACAGGGAGCCTAGGAGGAATATTGCAATACTGCCTCCTTTGCAAGGGTGAAAGGAACTGAGGCCACTTACCAGTACGAGACGGGGAGGCTCCGGCCCCCGGAAGGGGTGGGGCCTTGAGTGGAAGGGGCGGGGTTGGAGGGGGCCAGCGTCCCCCCGCCAGCTCTTCCTGTCTGGCTGGCCCGCGCCACCCAGGGCTCCCGTGTTGATTTAAAGGGCCCGGGGCTCCGGACACAGCTGCTCCCTCCCCCCCCCCCCGGGCCCGTCAGTAGCCGAGGGGGGGGCCAAAAGGGGCAGGAACGTTAAAGCGCTGCAGGCTCTTTTGCCGCGGCTCCGCCGACGGGGGGGAGGGGTGAGAGCAACATTAAAGCACGGTGGCAGCAAAGGACCATCCTTAAAGCGCTTTAACGTTGCTGCCCCTTCCCCCCTCTCCGTCGGTGGCCCTGCCGGTATGGACCCTACCAGCAGGGCCGCTGACAGGGGAGGCAAAAGGGGCAGGGACATTAAAAGCGCTGCCACGGCAACGCTTTAAAGTGTATGGGCCGGTGCGGGTTCTTACTGGTACGCAGGACTGACCCGTACCAGCTCACTTTCACCCCGCTCCTTTGGTTTGCTGTCCAAGTCCACACTAGAAAGCATGGTAGTGTGGTAGGGCAGTGGGGAAGACTCCTGTTTCAGACAAAGACTCTGCAGAGGTCCTGGTACCGAGAAGAGGAGACTCCAGTACGTAGGATAAACAGAGGTCACTTGAGTGCCGGTTGTGACATGTTGGCACCCCAATATTCATCACTGTCATGTAATTAGGGTATGTTTTGCAAAGACATGCTCTTAATCGGCTACTGCAGTATTAACACTGGTTCACCATATAAAATGCTCACATAATTCCCGCACAGAGAATCCGTTTGCTCGACTTTTTTCGCTAACAACTATTGCCTACCAGAGTGCTACTGTGGTCCTCAAAAGAGTAGAAAATTACTTTCTCTGTTAACAGCTTGCTATATGTTCATGGGAATCTATTGTATCTCCACACTGTATAATCACTCCAGACTGTGATTTTATGATACATCATATTCTGCTGTCTAATTGATCAGCATCTCACATAAAAAAAAGACAAAGATATGCTTGAGTGTGGTTTTAAATGAGCTGCTGGCCCTTTTAAAGGTAAGCAATATTTTAGTGACATTTCCTAAGCAATGAAATGTTTCGCACAGATATGCTGTCTTGTGAAATAAAGGACAATAGAGCATTAAGCATTTATTAAACAGTTAAATTTAACAGTTTTTATATGAACTGTGTAGTGTTTTATCATCCAGGTTTGTACTTGGTACCTGATAAGTTTTTAGCTAAGTACATAATATGAGATCATTTGAAAATGTGGATTTCTCACATCCCTAGTCACAGCAAGAGTAGTGATGTCTATAGTAGAGACCAAAGGAGTTATTTGAAAACAAGGCCCTTATCATTAATCTAACAGCAGCTGCTGCGTGGGAAGGGGAATGTAGGAATTGCCATGCCAGAGCAGACCAATGGGCCATCAAGTCTAGCATCCTGCCGCTGGTAAAGTCTAATGCTGGATGTATCAGAGAAAACAAAAACACATTTGATAGCTAGCTAGTACAGCTGTATATCTGGGGTCTACAGGAACCTGAATAAAGTGGAACAGCTCATTGTTCTGATAAACCCAAATATCTCATCTTATCCAGTAATACCAGCAGATTTAGTGTTACTGTGGTACCAGAAATTGCTCCTTAAAGGCATACAACAGGAGCTTATGAGAAACCAAAAACAATTAAATAAACTTCAATACTATGACCTTACTGTGAAAAATTATAGCACAGAGGAAATTCTTCCAAAATCCTGATCGTATACGGCAATCATCTTACACCCTGAAGCACAGCAGAGCAGCACTTCTATCACCCCAATCTGTACACACTGCTGCCCCAAGCGGTGAGATGGCACCTATGTTAACTTTCTAAATTAGTTTCTTTTTCTCTCTTTCATCACAGTTTGTTGGAAAAAAAAAAACAGCTAACTGTCCAATATGTTTTTATATTCCACTGCAAGAGCTCTGAAGCATATAATAAACGCTTCTTTGAATCCAGCAACAAGCACCCTTTAGTGAGACCAGGGGTCAGATCTGGAGGTAATGTGCTGACAAAAGGACAGTTTAAAAGGGCAGGTATGTCAGGTAGTAGCTTTTACTGGACCAACTTCTGCTGGTGTGAGAGACAAGCTTTCAAGCTACACAGAGCTCTTCCTCCGGTTTAGTATAGACAGCAGGAATTTGGGTGCCACAACGAAGCCCACAAGGATCAAAATATCCCATCTTCCACCATTCTGCGCATCCTAATGGCTCAACTTTTGAGGCGCTGCATACCTTCAACTTCCATTGATTTAATGGAAGTTGAGGTTTCTGAGCAATTCACAGGATCAAGTTCCAAGCGAGCAAGATAAAAATAGCACAATTTTTGCTTCTTTGTTCTATGTCCAGATGTCAGACATCTGGTCCAGTAGCTGTAACACTGATAAAGTAACAATGATATTTGGGATATGTACTGCTAGAGAATGTTTTTCCGTGGTGATATCAGCTTAGGAATCATGTGCTGTTGCACTGCTAAGTGGAGTAAGAAAGTAACAGTATGGGAAATCTGATACAGATCTACATCTGTGTTCCTCTAACTAAGAAACAGTTACTTATTGTGACTGTGGTTCTTCGAGATGTGATGCAGACATGCATTCCACTTAGGTGTGTGTGCGCCCAGCGGACCGGAGCTGGATAATTTTGTCTAGCACTACCCATAGAGGAGTGGCACTTGAGCCTTATGGCCATAGCCCTTTCTCTAACTATGTGAAGCCCTGATCCCCTTCAGTTCCTTCACACCAAATTCCCAGAGATTGGACTCTGATGCAGAGAGGACAGAGGGTGGGTCATGGAATACATGTCTGCATTACATCTCAAAGAACAACAGTTACAGTAAGTAACCGCTTCTTCTTCGGGTAAATGCAGCTGTGTATTCCACTTAAGTGATTCACAAAAGCAGTACCCCCTCGCAGTCTATTTAAACAAAGACTGCAGGACCACCTTCCCAAAGTTCGCATCTTGCTCTGGATGGCACAGTAAGGGCATCATGGTTTGTAAATGTATGCATTGATGACCATGTGGGAGCCCTGCAAACATCCAACACTGAGATGTCACTTAACAACAAGATTGATGTTGTTTGTGCTCTCATAGAATGAGCTCACACCTGTAGAGTAGGTGAAGCTGAAGCCATTTCATATGCAGTCTGGATGCAGGGAGTTATCCACTTAGAGATCGTCTGTGAGGAGACTGCCTGTCCCTACATACAGTCTACACCAAGAGATGAGGTGAAGCTGACAGGGTTTAGTCCTCTCCATGTAAAAGCCCAGACATTTTCTGGCATCCAATGTGTGAAGATGCTGCTCTTCTGGCGATGAATGCAGCTTAGTAAAAACACAAGCAAATATACCACCTAGCTTAAATGAAACAGAGACCACTTTAGACACAAATTTTGGGTGTAGCTGCAGCATGACGAGGAATGCAGTTTTTTTACATAAGAAAGGAAAGGGGCAGGATGCCAGAGTTTTGAATGGAGGTCCCATGAGAGCTGCTAAGACCGTGTTAAGGTCCACAAGGGAACTGGTTTCCACCCCAGCAGACGGAGATGAAGATTCCTTTGAAGAATCTCACCACCATAGCATTGGAAAAGACACATCCAAACTGTAAGGGAAGGTTGAGACTGCAGACCGAAACAAAGGTGGTGAATTGTCTGGAAATGGTTGACCCGCAGGAATGCTCTAAAATTCAGAGCCTATTAGGGCCCCAGTGAACTCTATTTTCTGAGTGGGGACCAGCATTGACTTTTCTGTGTTTAGAATGAGACCCAGAGGGGCCAGTAAGCACAGTGTAATGTGTATGTGAGAAAGGATCGCCCCCCAACCCAATGGACAATGTTTAACCCCCAGTTAGGGCCTCACGGGGGAATACTTAACTAAATACAACTAACACTCATCTAACTAGCACTAAGGGTACTACTAACTATATACGTCTATAAAAAATGCTTAACTAGTGAGAGAATGTGAGTCTAAGACCACACAGAGCTCTGATTCCAGCTACGAGCTGTGAGAAGGAACTGAGGGGGCTCAGGCTGGCACTGCCTAATATAGCCAGGGGAGGGGCTGTGGCAGCAAAGCACGAGCACTGCCCCTCGATGGGTACTGCTCAGTAAAATTCTCCAGCTCTGGAGTGCTGGGCACACACACACACACTCACTCTGAAGTGGAATACATGGCTACATCTACTCCAAGAAGAGCTATTAGTGATCAGAGGCAGCATTTAGTGGACGAGGAAGACAAAACAAATACAAATATTTTAAAAAGCCACTTTTCTACAAAAACACTCTGCATGTCCAAATCCAGAGGAGGGCTGATTCAGGCCTTCATCCTTCTGCACCAGGTAAGCGGAATTCTGCAGCGTTTACTGCATGTGTGGTAACATGCCAGATAAGACGTTAAAAACGAGGTCCTTTGTGTTCTGAATGGCTGTTAAAGACCCTAAGATGTGTTTTGTAAAAGGATGGATTTGGTCCAGTGTCCTTGGGCAAAATTTTCCCTTTCCTGCACTTTTGGAAGTGTGCCAGTTGGTGGCTGCCAGCCAGCGTAGATGTAGCTGCAATTAGAGAGGGGCCAATAATTGATTTTTTAGTTTGCCAGCAGTTCTGAAAATAATGTAAAGAACTTGGTTCAAGTGGAACGGAATCCAGAAATCAGTTTCAGGTTGAACAAATCGATCAGAAAACAGATTTTTCTGGGAGGCACTGGACTCCCTTACAATTTTCAGCCCAGTGCGTAGGGTACTCACTTGGAATGCAGGAGAACTGGTTTCAATCCCCCGCCACTGATGTGGAAAAGGGATTTGAACTTGGGAGTCTTACATGGCAGGACCGTACCCTAGCCACTGGGCTATAGGCTATTCTAATAAAGGCTGCTCTCATTTTCCCATGGAAGCTTTATCACTGCCTAAATAAGTAAATAGTCACAGCAGAAACTTGAACGTGGGTCTCCTATAGAAAGGAGGTCTAAGTGGCCCTAGCCACCAAATCATTCTGACATGCTTTCGTTAGCCCAATAACTCTTGATTGGCATTCATAGTGGCAATATGTAGTCATTCATATTTGTAGTCAAAGTCTCAGTGTCAAATTCACAAATAGTTTCAGGTTGACCAAACTGCGTTTTTTGGTGAATAAACTATTCAGCTGAAAAATTTCACTCTCTTCTAGCTGAAATTAGGTGGTGAGAGAATTACTTTTCATATGTATGCAAGCATATAATTGTATATATCTGTACATGTCCTAAAATGCTTTGGGATCTTTTGGGATGAAAAGTGATATATAAGTACAAGATTGATATTAATTGAATACGCCCAGACAAAAAAATCAACGAAGATGATAAACGATTGTATTTTTTGCATAACTTTAAACCTAGGCAATACATTATATTAATGGAGACTGATATTTAGTTTTTAACTTTATAAATAGATGCAAGTTACTGGCATCGTTTCCCACAACTCACTAAGGAATCTGATGGCAAGTGAGTCCTTGACTGCTGCAATCCAGCCACCCATTTCATCTAAACAGAACATCTTCAACCATTTCTCTCCCTAGCTTTATTTGCAGAAGTCCCTCATGTTACTATTATAAACCCAAGTTCACAGCATTCACTTTTCTCTTGTCATCACATAAAGGAATCCTTCAGTAGCGCTGCTGAATTAAGTCTATAGGAGCAGCTCTGTAGCAAGGTCATTTTAGTTCTGGAACAGCTGTCCCCTCAGGATTCCAAAGTGAACTGCCAGTTCCCCCTTGAAAGTCTCAGGGTTTTTTTTTTTTTTTAATAAAGTAAAATTCAATTTGTGTAAGACCTTGGATTTAGGAGCTTTTACAGAAAGTTTATATAAAGTTTTTTGACAGCTTGGAACCAGTGAAAATAGCAAAATTAGTAACAGATAAGCCAAACCACTAAAGTGAACCACAGCTAGGCTCTTCTGTCACACTTGACAATAATAAACCCTTACAGTGGTAATCTCAAGAACAGCCTATAATTCTCATTACCCACAGCTTTATTAACATCACAACACTGAAACTGAACGGTCTGGTTTGAAACCACAAGGATACACAGTCTGATTTAAAGGATCACTAGGAAGTCTTATCTATGTACTGTAATTTTGTTTATGAATACAGTACAACAATTTTCTTGGTAGTGGGAATGTAGTACAATATAGGCAAGTCTCTCTTTTATAACAGTTGTTTAAGAACTGGCAATTTCCTCCCTACCACCACCAAAGCTCATTAATGAAATGCTCCTCTCTTCTGCGCTCCCCACCACTCCTCCCCTGAAAAATATTCCAATGCAATGCTGGTAAAATACATTTATGTGTATTTCTATATACACTGGCAAAACCTAAAAGGATAGAACCCAAACAAATCTTTTGCCAACATACACAGTGCACTGAAAGCCCACGTAGTCATTTCACTGGGAAAATATTTATTAATGTACTTTTCACTATAAAAAATTATCTGTTTGGACTTGTTTTTGGAAAATGATTAGCTTTCTTTTGCTGCAACATGTAAAAGGAAATTCTTAGTGGCCTGCACATTCCTTTTTATGTGTGTGGTGTTTTCCAAAGGAGTTGAGTTAAAAAAACAACAACAGAAATTCGACAAAATGCCTCAGACAAATAAAAGAAGAAAGCTAGAAGTTCAGATACTTGATAAACACCTTTACACGCTTCCTGAATTCTTGGAGCAAATCTGCCAGGTTTTGATATGTGGCTTTGGGAGCAGAATATTCAGGATAGTACGCTCTAAGCAAAGAAAATAGGATAGGTGCTGTTTGAAACTACAAAATGAATAAATTCCATCAAAAAGTCCAGGCTAATTATTAACTAATTGTAAAATGACATAACATTAATTTCCTATAGCCAATTGTCTTAGTCTCATGGCATATTTCAGGTAAGTTTTTACTATATTTAGTTTATGTATGCAACAGCTTCTGCATATCTGCTGTGTGCAGAATCTGTCACTCTCTCCAGAGGGAGAAATTCCTCACAGTAAATGACCAGCAAATTGCCTTAGATCTTAGGTCAGGAATATGCCCTCTGGTTTCCATAGCTTTTCACCAGGTTCTGCAGGAATACATTAGACTGAGTGATTATTCATCATGAAAATCTGAGATGGCATCTCAGTATATTTACAAGGAATGGACTATTCCAGGGGTTCTCAAACTGGGGACTCCTCAGGGGGTCCAAAAGTTACTACATGGGAGGTTGCGAGCTGTCAACCTCCACCCCAAACCCCACTTTGCCTCCAGTATTTATAATGGTGTTAAATATATATTAAAAAGTATTTTTAATTTATTAGGGGAGTTGCACTCAGATGCTTGCTGTGTGAAAGGGGTCACCAGTACAAAAGTTTGAGAACCACTGCGCTATACAAAGAATGGTATTACATCTAATCTCAAGTCTCAGTAATTACTGTAACTGAGAATAAAGATGCGTTTAATGTTGGGTTTTTTAGGTGATACCACATGATGTAAACAAAACTATAAAGCAAAAGTCAGCCAAGAGATGCCTACTTTTGATTTGATTTTTAATTTTGGCACATGCACCTAGAACTAGATAGATGGATGTGTAACTATTTAACACCCAGAGCTATATTAAACAAGTAAACTCATATAGGACTTGTGCGCACTGGTGAATTTATGTACTGGATAGTGTTTTACATACAGATTGTAACATGCACAAAGGGCTAGATTCGAATAAGCAGCTTTACACCTATCCTCTGCCTTTGTGTATGAATTTCCCCAGAATTGCACCCCTGCGGCCAAGGAAGATCAGAGCTGATTCAGAGATGGCCTCCACGGAAAGAACAGTCCCCCCTAAGGAGGCAAGGATGGGTAGGTAACTGTAGCTCACTTTTCCTACCTGCTAGCCAGCTGAGCTGACTGGCCGTGCTGGAGAGCCAGGAGGATATGGGAAACATGCTACGCCTCTTTAAAGGTACTGGAGATTGTATTCACCTTGAACAAGGGGGAGCTCTATGAAACACTCTGCTTCTCTAAAAAAGTGCTCTGTATAGTGTAGCGTGCTCCCATGGCACCCCCAATGCAAGGCTGTACCTTAAAAGCATTATCTATCCCAAAAATGTTCCCACAAATTTTAGCCCTTCTTGGTGAAAGAAATACCATATCCTTTTTTATTTTAGTGTTAGGGAATAGTCGGATATTCATGTTACATTATCATCATGTTTCCAGCTGGAGTGTGCAGGTGAGTTCTGCCACTTAACTATTACTAGAAATAATCACAATAAATTAGTTTTCATTGATGCTTCAATTCAAAGAGAGTGAAAATCAGATTTACACAATGTTTCTACATCTGCACTATTTTACCAGCACTCTGTAGTTCTGCCTACTTTGGAATCCAATTACAAAACCTTATGTGCTACTGACATGTAAGCATACTTTGATCTCTTAGAAAATGTCCAGTCTGAGTGGAAAGAATCATAGTATCTACCCCAATAACACTAATTATTAATATGTTTATCCAGAAAAAAAAAGATGCACATTTCCTTTGGTGATGTTACCCACACTGTTATAATTTCAATAAGTACTAGGCAATTAATAATGCACTTGTAAGGACTCAGTAAGCCCCTCCTGAATTTAAAATCAAAAGCCATTTTAATTTAAAATAAAATAATTACAGCTAAATTACAATTACATACCTTTACAATCAAACTTTATTTCCAGATGAATACTCAAATTCATAATTAATAATGTAAATATAACCATTGTAACATGAATAAATAATGTCTGACATTATTTTGAAGTGCAATTTGATATTTTGCTGTAATTGATTGTACTCAGGCTTTCTTAAATTAAAATGTCCAATTTGTTAAGAAAACTGATCTAATTAAAATTGTATGCAATGTATTTGCAGCCTTATTAGTGCCACGATATTAGAGAGACAAGGTGGGTGAGGTAATATCTTTCATTGAACCAACATCTGTTGGTGTGACAGAGAAGCTTTCGAGCCACACAGAGCTCTTAATGAAGAAGAGCTCTCTGTGGCTTGAAATCTTGTTGCTGTCTCACCAACAGAGATTGTTCCAATAAAAAGTATTACCTCACCTGCCTTGTCTAATTAAAATTGTGTATTTATACACAATATAAATGATGTCTACAAACTGACATACACTGCATTATTGAGGCTGAAGATACTCCTTGAAAGCCAGTATTAGCGCTCTGGATTTTGGAGGTCGGATCTAAGCCAACCTCAGTCATATCTTTAAACAAAGCAGTAATATAAGAAATTTTTTCTTTGTACGATGTTTATGCTTACTAGCAAGATTTATTACTTATAGACTGACATCTGAATTTGGCCCTAAATCAGTCCAGTGATATTTTAGTTGGTTTAACTTTCACCTTCTTTTACCCCACCCCACCCCTTCAATGAGTATTTCACACCAATTTAGACTCCTTTTTACTTATATACACTTGGGGATTAATTATGCCCTCAGAGATGCACAAACATTGCCCACTAGTTTCGACCAGAGTTATGCAGGTTTATGTGGGAGGAGGGGCTTGATTGGGGGGAGGAAGAGATTCAGCTCTAAATTCTCAAATCATCATACCAATGTGAAATTTATTATTTAAATATTTATATTACAGTAGCATCCTGAGATCCCAATCAGGTTCAGGATGACAACACAAACTCTGCCATAAAATGCATAATCTAAGAGTTTACAACCTAAGGATTTACAGCCTTTACTCATTTGTACATCACTTCTGAACTTGGTTCACCTCGTCTAACTCAGCAACCAGAAGAAAGGAGTGTACTAAGCAAAAGCAATTAACTGCACCACCTTACACATCACCTTTTAACTTAGCTTATACTCTATAGTTACATCCTTGTGTTGTTCTTATTAAGGCATCAAGAGGTTGTATTTCACACTTACATTTTGTATATGTGACATAACACAGCAACGTGTGCTTGGAGTAAACTGCAGCCAGCACTGTCTGCACTCCCACCAGCAGGCCAGAGCCCCGCCTTCCAAAATGGCAGATGACTTTTGGTCTCTGCAGGCACCTCCCACATCCTTACATGACAGTGACAGCTGCACCATACAATCATGACACCCCATATATTTTAGAATGTGGAAATCCAGATGAGATTAGAATTTACATCAAGAAAATAATGACTACTAAAAAACAACAACCCATTTTGAATGGGAAATGGTGGCAACTTCCAAGATAACTGCATTATTGTCTTGACTGAAGCTGAAGTGCTGAACAAAACAGAACATGCTTTTACATAGCATCTTTCATACTCAAGGTATCACAAAATGTATTACAACAATGAATAAGAAAACGATAGCAGATGAAAGGCCCTACCTCAAGTCTGAAAAAACAATGTAAATTATAGGGTTTACAAAAATGGATTCCATCCCTGTACATTATTTGCTAGCAGACTGGTGAGGTAACTGACTTTTGGCTGCATTCCTCTTTGTGCAGACTGGATTGATCTGGTTTTTGTTGATCAATGCTAATAAATAATAGTGCTACAAGGCAATCATTTATATAATGTCATAGGCTTGCACAGTGCTTCATACACATAGAGATGTGCTGCCTTGAAATGAAGAAAGTACAGGCTACCAGTCAGAAGTCAAACCATAGATAGCCATGCAATGCTGAGATGCCTTGAGACCAGCATTGAACAAAAGACAAATAAAAGTTCACACAAAGCAAGACACAGAGGAGGCAGAATCCAAAACATGGGTGAACCTCAAGTCCAGGGAAAGACTCCAGACTATGCTATTCCTGTGATAGAATCAGAAAAGGTGTTGCAGTCCAGGAAATCAATTCACTTACAGATTGCTTCTGAAACCTGTGAATACACTCTCAGAATATCACTTCTCTAGGAGGAAGAGCAACAGCAATAACTCAGACAGATATTATGGACCCAATTCTGCCCTTCCTGTGACTGAGCCATGTTTGGAATAGGGAAGGGGTGCACTGCTGGAGAACATGTGCTTGGAGGCGTTCTATTGTGAAAGCCTGTTGTGGGTGCCAGGAAGAGGGAAGTTATAGATGCCTCTTGCTACACTTTTAAAGAGGTGTAACAAGTGCTCCCCACAGCAGACCAGAAGAGTGAGGCCATGGTTCCACCTGAGTCTCATCCAGAAACATTCCCTCTGAGGCTGGTCAGCACTACAGGAATGTGTCCTGTAGGAATAGCGTAGCCCCAACTTTTCTAAAGACTAAAATTTTGTTGACCCAAAACAGTTCAGGGAAATAATTTAATGTTAGAGCCAAAAAAACTACAACAACAAAAACCCAAGGCCTTTACTAACAAACAGAGGGGCAATGTACCATTTAGCAGGAACAGAAGCAACTTAGCCAGACACTTGGGAAAACACAAGGAGGAGAAAGAAAGTTAAGTCTACCAGCTGAATCTGGAAAAACAACAAGGACTCTAGTGGCACGTTAAAGACTAACAGATTTATTTGGGCATAAGCTTTCGTGGGTAAAAAACCCACTTCTTCAGATGCATGGAGTGAAAATTACAGATGTCGGCATTATTATACTGACACATGAAGAGAAGGGAGTTACCTTACAAGTGGAGAACCAGTGTTGACAGGGCCAATTTAATCAGGGTGGATGTGGTCCACTCCCAATAATTGATGAGACGGTGTCAATACCAAGAGAGGGAAAGTTGCTTTTGTAGTGAGCCAGCCACTCCCAGTCCCTATTCAAGCCCAAATTAAAGGTGTTAAATTTGCAAATGAATTTTAGTTCTGCAGTTTCTCTTTGAAGTCTGTTTTTGAAGTTTTTTGTTCAAGTATGGCTACTTTTAAATCAGTTATAGAATGTCCAAGGAGATTGAAGTGTTCTCCTACTTGCTTTTGCATGTTACCATTCCTGATGTCTGATTTGTGTCCATTTATTCTTTTAAGTAGAGACTGTCCGGTTTGGTCAATGTACATGGCAGAGAGGCACTGCAGGCATACGATGGCATATATCACATTTAGTAGATGTGCAGGTGAATGAGTCCCTCATGGTGTGGCTCATGTGGTTGGGTCCTCTGATGGTGTCGCCAGAGTAGATATGGGGATAGAGGAGGCAATGAGGCTTGTTACAGGGATTGGTTCTTGGGTTAGTGTTTCTGTGGTATGGTGTGTAGTTCCTGGTGAGTATTTGCTTCAGGTTGGGGGGCTGTCTGTAAGCAAGGACTGGCCTGCCTCCCAAGGTCTGTGAGAGTGAGCGATCGTTTTCCAGGATAGGTTGTAGGTCGTTCATGATGTGCTGGAGAGGTTTTAGCCGGGGGCTGTACGTGATGGCCAGTGGTGTTCTGTTACTTTTCTTGTTGGGCCTGTCCTGTAGTAGGTGACTTCTGGGTACCTGTTTCACTCTGTCAATCTGTTTCCTCACTTCCCCAGGTGGGTATTGTTGTTTTAAGAATGCTTGATAAAGATCTTGTAGGTGTTTGTCTCCTCGTTGTTTTTGTGGATACAGACTAACACGGCTACTCCCTGATTGCTGAATTTGAGTAAGTCAAAAAACAACCATCCAAGAGAGAAAGGAACTAAGAACATAAGAAAGGCCATACTGGGTCAGACCAAAGGTCCATCCAACCCAGTATCCTGTCTACCAACAGTGGCCAATGCCAGGTGCCCCAGAGGAGTGAACCTAACAGGTAATGATCAAGTGATCTCTCTCCTGCCATCCGTCTCCACCCTCTGACAAACAGAGACTAGGGACACCAGTACTTACCCATCCTGGCTAATAGCCATTAATGGACTTAACGTCCACGAAATTATCTAGTTCTCTTTTAAACCCTGTTATAGTCCTAGCCTTCACAACCTCCTCAGGCAAGGAGTTCCACAGGTTGACTATGCACT